CATACATGCACTCACATATGCACATGGTAGCCAGGTAACATGGAAAGCAGCTCCAGCAGCTCCCCACAGGCAAGTCTATGGGGTGTGGGGGAAGAAGAGGGGAGCACAGGCGACACTGCCCGCCACCCCACCTCCTCTCTGGGTGAAGCCTGAGGGGAGCAGCAGTGGCTGGGCCATGGCAGCAGGGAAGAGCCTTGGCCTGGCACACAAGTGGCTGGTAGTGGGAGAAGGTGAGGACAGTGTGGTCCTCCCCACCGTCCTTTACTCCATTGAGAACCACTCATTACCATGTACACTTCCTTATCATGTCCTCTCTTATTTGTTTCCTTTCTTTTGACAACATTAAGAGAGAGATTTGACTTGTATTTGTGCCTTTGAAAATCTCCCTCAAATACCATATGTCAGTGCCCAACATGTAGATTACATCATACTTAGAGACTGCAAATCCAGACTGCCAAGTAGCTATAGCATTTTATTTGACTGAAAGCAAGGAGGATATGGCACTGTAATAAAAATTATATCTTATTCAAGAAATTCAAAATCTCTGAAAAAAAAGTATAGCTGCATGAGGTAATGTTCAGGGTACATGTATTCTGAATTGCTTACCTTAACTCAAATTCAGCAAAAAGAATATCAAAATGTCTGAGCGAGTCCCTCATTTTTTCTGTGTAAAGATTCAAATCCCGTAGGGCCTGGTCACGAATTATGTTTCTTACTTCCTCTAGACTACGAGTCAGATCCTTAGCCAATGGTCTCATAGCCATACTCTCGATTTCACGATTCATAATAATTGAACCAGCAGCCAAGCACTGTGGAAATAATTTTTTAAAGAGGAAAAAGCAATTAAGTTATACTTCATGCAAGAGAAAGTCACAGGAATAGATGGCACGTAGAGGGAGCTGGGCTTGGATCCACCTCTGACTAATTACTGGCTCCCAAGTGGATTTGAGGCCAGAGATCAGGTGAGCACCTGGAGGTCATGTGGTCCTGAAAAGGCCATAAACTGCCTGCCCTCAGAGACCTGGGAGTAGTAGGGTGGCCCATGACAAAAGGGAAGGAGATAGGAGGAGGCAATCCCCACCAACAAAGTGAAAGACTTTTTGCATGTAGCTGCCATGTGTGCAGGAAAAAAAAGTTTTGAGGGGAAGAGGCTTAGGAGAGGCCAAGCAGCAGAAGCTGATTTCTTTATTTTGATATTGAAAAAATAAACCCCTCCTTGGAAAAAAAAGAAAGGAAATTCTGCTCCTAGTAAAGCTTTATGTGATGCACTAGCCAGTGCATTAGCTGACCAGCTCATAGAAATCTTATAGGTAAACCTTTATTTTGATACACTAACAAATGTTTCTTTTTTTTTTTTCTTAAAGGGCTGGAGCAGCAGGGG